CAAAATTAGTAGTTTTTATATATGCACACTGAAATTACTAAGATCAAACTTAGGAAAAATAATCATTCACAATAGATTAAAAATGTATCTATGAGTAAATGTAAGCATGGAAATGAAAACTTTAAGACAAGGTGGGAAGAAATTGAAGAATATGTTAGATATAGAATAACCTTCCATGTTCCTGGATTGGTAGCATTAATTTATGAAAAGTTTCTATTACCAAAAATTTTCTACAGACTCAGTGCAACACTCACCAAAATTCTAATTCACAGAACCAGAAAAAAACAAAATTCATATAAGAATACAAAGGCCAACTGCAGCCAAACAATCCTAAGTCGAAAGGACACGTACGGTGGTATTGTTATACCTGATCTAACTATGGAGGTTTTTTTTCACATAGTAAAAAAAAAGCCTGGACCAGCACAAGAGCAGAAGTATAGAAGCAAGGAATAGACAGAAGCATAGACCAATAGCATATAGAATTGAAGAACAGACCGAAACATAGACCAATAGAACATGGAACTGAGAAATAGATCGCAGCCTAGACCAATAGAACACAGAACAGCAGAATAGATAGCAGCATAGACCAATAGAACATAGAACCGAGGAATAAACCCACACAGCCATGATCATCTGATTTTTGACAAAAATGTCAAAACATTTTGGAAAAAAGAATCCATTCAACAAATTGTGTGCATAAAACTGGATGCCTACCTGTATAAAAATAACACTAGATGAATATTTTTCACCCTGCTCAATGCCATATAAAGTAGATCAAAGAACTTGGAAATCTCAAACGCTAAGCTAGAGAAAATAGACAAAATGTTTCAGTATTTAAGTATTCACAAGAACTCTCTGAACATAATTCCAGTAGAAGAGGAAGTAGCCAGAAAAACTAACTAATGTGGCTACATGAAATTAATAAGCTTCTGAACAGCAAAGGAGACTATGAGCAGAGTAAACAGACAGGAAATAGGAGAAAAGTCTTCAGTTATACCTTTTATTGACAAGGATACCTATGTACCCTTGATTGAAGGTACCTATGTACCTTCAGTTGTACCTATGTGTTGACAAGGGTCAATATATAAAATATATAAAGAACTTAAAAAGTTAAACATTAAGACTCCTAAACTTCTAAGTAACAAATGTGTTAATAATTATAACAGATGTTCTTAGAAGAAATAAAAGTGGTCATACACTTTTAAAAAGTTTTGAATATGCCTAGCTATCAAAGAAATACAAATTAAAACTGCTATGAGATTCCATCTCATTCTAGAAAGAATGGGTATCGACAAAAAAAGAGAGATAACAAAAATGCCAAGGAATAGGGAAAGAAAATCGTTATTTACTGCTTTTGTGAGTGTACTCTAGTAATGGCATTTTGGAAATCTATGTGAAGAGTTCTGAAAATGAATCAAAATGCCATGTGTGGACAGTCACAGTGTATACATCTACAAAACATGCCTGTTCTGAAGGCTCAAGGAGCAGAGCAACCGAAGAGACAGAAAGCTTCTATGAGCCAGAAGAACAGGGACTTTGATGTGAGACTGTATCTCCTAGTAACATCGCAAGTGACACCCATGAAATCTTATCAACATGATTGCCCAAACAAGAGCTCAACAAGGATGACTTTAATGTACATGCCAAAGTAGAAAGAGAAAAGCCCATGAGACCTAAACTTTATGCAAAGAACTATAGCTAATGAAGGAAAGCTAGGAGTGGCATTCTCAGGGAAGAGCACACCAATTGGTTGTCCAGTGTTGGTAACCAAATGGTCAGCCCTGAAAACATATATATATAAGTAATAATATATTAACTGAGCACATTGTATTTATAAAACATCTATATGCATATACACATATAAGCATTCAATAACAATTAGTGAACAAAGAAGTCATAAATTTGAATGACATATGGGAGGTTTAGAGGGAGGAAATGGAAGAAAGAAATGTTGCAATTATATTATCTCAAAAGTAATAACGAAGTAGAATTATGGAACTATGTATCTAGAGCATTCCTCAATATATACCTAGAGAACTATGTATGTCATCATAGACATACTTACACATCTATGTTTATTGTTCTTTATTCATAATAGCAAAAATATGGAACCAGTCTAGATGATCAACAGACAAATGGATTATGAAGCTATGGTACATATATTCAATGGATATTTATTTATCAGTAGAAAATTGAAGATAAATGGATAAAATTGGAAAAAATTTCAGATATAAATAGTATGAAAAAGAAACTTACTTCTTTTTTTGTGGTGTATGGGGATATACCTTCCCCCTTTTTATTTTATGAAGATATTGTTTTTTTCCTTTTTATTTTTATTGGATATTTTATTTATTTAAATTTCAGATGCCATCAGATCACTGTCCCCATTTCAAAGGTGGAGCAAGTCTTTAGAAAATATTAGCAGCATTACCTAGTGAAGCCAAGATTTGACTAGAGATGCATGCTTAACCATGATCAAATATCCAGGGTTTCCTAGACAGAATCATCTACAAACTTTTGTAATTTTATCATTTCTGAATTCCATGGTAACTGTTATTTAAAGTATGATACAGCCTTGAGTTTGATGTTGTATATAAACAGGTATCTATTTATATATATATTCCTAGGAAATACATATAAACTCCCATGGCTTATTTTTTTGGATATTTTATTTATTTACATTTCAGATCGCATCCTCTTTCCCCATTTCCCCTCCCTAGAACCCCCATCCCATCCCCCCTCCTCCTTTTTGTTTCTATACCATTTTAATTACATGTAAGTATTAAGGTCAGTTCTAGTTTGAGGACTAGCAATACATTAGGTGCAAATAGTTAAGGAACAAGCAAGACAATAAACATAAATAGTCAAAGAACAAGCAAGGCAATAAACAAAATTCCATGAACACTCCTGTGATCACTGTTTCTAAGGGCTTATTGGGATGACCAAAATATCTGAGCCAACTTCCCTGTCCTAGCCCAACTACCTAACACCTCAGATAACTTTTGAGGATGCGTTTCTCATAATTCAACACTTGGTCATGACTTCAGAAAAGTTCAAACTCTATGAATAGAAGGGATATTTTCAATTTGACCAAGAACATCTACAAATATGAATATTTACCTTCTTAGGTAAACATACCATCATCAATGCCATTCCTTATGTTTATAGAAATTCTAGTTAGTAGAATGAAGGCAGAAGAGGAATCAAAATAATACATGTTAGAGAGGAAGAAATACACCTGTGTGTATTTGTAGGTCACATGAACAATACAAAAGATCCCAAGGAATCTACCATCATCTTCTAGAGTTTACAAGTTACTTCAGCAAAGCTTCAGAACACAAGATGACCATAAAAAAATCAGTTCTCTGCATATTAGTAGGGAAAATGAGAGATGAAATTAAGTCTCCTTTATAGTCACTAAAGTAGAATACCTAAGTATAAATGTAGTCATATATGCATAGGGTTAGTGTGATGAAACTCAGAAAACACTGATGAATGAAACCAAAGAGCTACGTACATAGACAAACTGTATGGGCTAAAAAGCTTAGTATAATGAGATGTTAATCTGTCTGAAATTGACACACAATAGACATAATTCCCAGTCTGTCAGATTTTTCTCTAGATATAGAACAGACTATTCTATAATTTATATGTAAGGGAAAAGCTGTTAAACTCTTTAAGCAAAACTTCCCAAAGAATAAAGTGTAGTGAGCCAGTAACCTTATTGTCAGGATTTATCCTGGTAGTGTATAAACACTGTGATATTGTTGGATGAGCTGACACACAGACGAAGAGTAGAGGAATCCCAGAAAACAATATACACAGGTCTAGCCCACTGAGCTTTATAAGAATGCAAAGCCATTCAGTAGGATGCCAGAATGCTTGACCTTTTCAGGGTAAAAATATCAACTTAATATAAAATTTACATCATAAATCAAAATGAACTCAAAATAGATCATATATTTAAAGCTAACATAAGAGACATTTTTTGTGTGTTTTTTGTTTTTTTGTTTTGTTTTTAATACATGTTTTTTTGGTGTAGCCTTGGAACTTACTCTGTAGGCCAGGCTGGAATTGAACTCAGAGATCTGCCTGCCTCTGCCTCCCAAGTGCTGAGATTAAAGGCATGTCCATCATCACTCAGTAAGCCATTACTTTTAAATAAAATAATATAAGGTAAAACACTGAGGTCAGTGAACATAATGGAAAGCTCTTAGACATTCTATACTAAGGTTTCATCATGTTATACAAGATGTCACAATTGGGAAAAATTAGGCAGTATAGATTAATAGGTATAAATAAGTAAATCAACCTTAATGAATATTTTCAACAAACTAAAAACAAGGTTAAGAGTCTGAAAAGGCATACTACATGGGAGAAAAGATGTTCATAACTCATAGTTGAAAAAAGAATCATACCTAAGGTACATAAAGAACTCTCAAAATATATTAAAGATGTAGAGTATCAGTTGGTTTCTAAACTGGACGTATTTGCTCTCATTTTCATATCATTTCCAAGACAACATTTAGATTCCTAAGCATTTTGTTACATCACCAGTGATGGAAAATACCTTCCAGGCTTTGTCAGCCATGGTGGACTCTGACAAAGGTCCTTTGCTTTGTCACACACCGATGAGATGTGTAACTAGTGCTGAGCATGGGATTGCTTTGCTTTACTTACACCAGAGTTGCTGCAATTCACTGGCTGAAGCCGGAGCAGGCTGATTGCCTCCAACTCTCTCTTGAGTAATTTTTCCTCTTTGGGGAGTTTATTACTGGGGCCTGAAGGGATTGACTCTTTTGAGAATATGATATCTCAGGGGCTGAGGTGGCTTTGGATAAACAACATTCTCTTGTGATTTTTGGATGATGTGATTTAAACTTTCTAGAGATGTAGTACATTAGATGTTATTTCTAGAAAAGATAATTTTTTCATGCTAACTGTTCTTTGCTGTTTTGAAACAAAGTTGAAGTTTACTTAGAAAAACTTTACACCCTTCCCACTCCTGGCAATGAAAAAAGAGACACTTTGTTGTTGGTGCTGTTTTATATCAGTTAGGGGCAGAGTAGATGACAGAGGGTTGTTCATCCTAGCTTGATGCCTGGCTTGGTCGACAAAGCTGACTTATGCTTAGGACTCATAAAAATTAAATCAAGTCAAGTCACCTCAAATCAGATCAGTCAAATCCAATCAGCAGCAGCACAGGAGGAGGAAGACCTGTCCTCCAGTGTGCACAGCACAGGCAGGTCATAGACATCCGCTGGTATCCATGCTCTTCTTCTAGGGGCCTGCCAGTCATGTGGCCAGCCTGTAGAGGGAGCCATCCCAATGTTCGAATATGTGATAGTCAGATGGGAGAGAAAGAGAAGTGGAGCAGCTTGAACATTATGAAGATAGATGGAACTGGAAACTCAAGGGAGGAGAGGAACAAGCTGTCACTTAGGGTCATGTCTGAGTCCATGCCTATGGAGAAACAGGGGTCAGTGTCGATGTCCCTGGCTCATATTACCACCAGAGAACATGGAGATGTCCCTGTTTGGGGCAGCCTCTGGGAACCACGTGGATGTTCAGTGGGCTGTGTATAACTGGCCTCATCCCTCACTAAATGTGACACTCTGGAGAGTTGACACCACATGCCTGGCTGCATTTGGAAGAGTGGGTCCTGTGCCTCGCACAGGTAGTGCAGTGGAGCTGGTCCTGGCGGTGGGGCAGGAGAGCTGTCCCTGCCACTCATCTGGTATTGGGTGGCAAAATTGCAGAGATGATACTACCCCCTTCCCCTTACCACCTTTGGCAGACAGCAAAGATGTTCACAGGATCATGAGTTTGGGATAGCTAGCCCTGTTCCTTACCAGCTGCAGGATTTGGGAGAACGAGCCCTGCATCTTGCCTGAACAACATAACAGAGCTGACCCTTGGGACGGGGAGCACTAGTGAGCCAGCCTCAAGGGCTAGAACGAGGAAGAGCTGTCCCTGCCACTATTCTGCAGTGAAGTCACATGGGTGCCTGATGCCCTCCCCCTCTTCCCCCTCTTAACACCACTGTTGGGAGGACTGGCCCTGAGGTCAGTAGAGTAGGTTAGCTTGCCCTCTCCCTCACCCAGTGGAACACTTGGAGAGTAGCCCCTGTACGTCACCTGGGCAGCACAGTAGAGGTAGCCCCGATGGCAAAAGCACAGGTGAGCCATCCCTAAGAGGGTGAGAATGTTCGAGCTGTCCCAGTCCCTCACAGGCTGTAGCACTTGAAAGGCTGGGTCCAGAACCTTGACTAGACAGCGTAGTGGAGTTGGCTCTGGAAGTGTGGGTGCAGATGAACTGGCCTTGAGAGCATGAGAACAGGAGAGGTGACCTTGCCTCCTTGCCTCCTAATGGTAGAAGCAGGTGGCCTAGCCAGGGCAGTCCTTGCCCTGGTTCTGGGGATAAGGAAAAGCAGTGGGCTCACCAGCTCAGTTACCACCCAGGCCCAGGTCCAGGGCTCTGAAGTGGCCCACCCGAAATCATATCATCTATGGATGGTTGGAATGCTTGAAAGGGTTAGCCCTGCTAGTCCAAAACTTCAGAATCTTCCTCCATGACACAGGGCAACATCAGGATAATTGGGAGAAGTCTCCATCAGGATCCAGTATGGATGGTGTCACAAAAGCAATAAATCCTTTTCTCATTAATTAATTAAATTTCCTTAAGGATTACAATACTCTTTAGATAGTTTGCCTTATCTTGATTTAACTTTGGTAAGTGGTATCTGTTTAGAAATTCATCCACTTCATTTCAATTTTCCAATTTTCTGGAGTATAGGCTTTTGAACTATGATTTTTTGAATTTCCTCAGTGTCTGTTGTTGTGTTTTCCTTTTCATTTCGTTTTGTTAATTTGGATACTGTCTCTTTGTCTTTTAGTTAGGTTGGCTAAGGGTTTGTCCATCTTGTTGATTTTCTCAAAGAATTATCTCTTTTGTTGACTCTTTGTATTGTTGCCCTTGTTTCTAATTGATTAATTTCAGCCCTGAGTTTGATTATTTCTTCACATCTACTCCTGTTGGATAAATTTATTTTTAGTCTAGACCTTTCAGGTGTAATTTTAAATTGTTAGTATGAGAACTCTCGAATTTCTTTCTTTTTTCTTTTCTTCTTGGATATTTTCTTTATTTACATTTCAAGTGTTATCCCCTTTCTTGGTTCTTCCCCACCAAAATCTCCCTATTCCACCCCTCCCCCTGCTTCTATGAGAGTGTTCCCCACCCATCCACTCACTCTCACTTCCCCATCCTGGCATTCCCCTATACTGAGATCGAGCCTTCACAGTTCCAAGGATCTCTCCTCCTATTGATGTCTGACAAAGCTATCCTCTGCTATATATGTGGCTGGAATCATGAGTCCCTCCATGTGTATTCTTTGGTTGTTGGTTTAGTCCCTGGGAGCTCTGGGGGGTCTGATTGGTTGATATTGTTGTTCTTCAATTTCTTTATGAAGGCACTTAGTGCTATGAACTTTACTCTTAGTACTGTATTCATTGTGTCCCTAAGTTTGGGTATGTTGTACCTTCATCTTTATTGAGTTCTAGAAAGTCTTTGATTTCTTTCTTTATTTCTTCTTATACTTAGTAGTCATTGAGTCGAGAGTTCCTCAGTTTCCATGAGATTGTAGGCTTTATGTTGTTTCTATTGTTATTGATATCCAGCTTTAATGTATGGGTGATCTGATAAGACACAAGGGGTAATTTCTACTTTTTTTGTATCTGTTGATGATTGCTTTGTGATCAAGTATATGGCCAATTTTGGAGAAGATTCCATGAGCTGCTGATGAGAACTTATAGTCCTTTGTCATTGGGTGAAATGTTCTGTGCATATCTGTTAGATCCATTTGTAGATAACAACTATTAGCTTTATTGTTTTTCTGTTTAGTTTTTGTTTTGATGACCTGTACCTTGGCTAGAGTGGAGTGTTGAAGCCTCCCATTATTAGTATGGGGAGTTCAATGTGTGATTTAATCTTTAGTAATGTTTCTTTAACAAATGTGGGTGCGCTTGCATTTGGGGCAGGGATGTTCAGAATTGGGAAGCCATTTTGTTGGATTTTTCTTTTGATGAGTATGAAATGTCTTTTCCTATTCTCTTTTTATTACTTTTGGTTAAAAGTCTATCTTATTAGATATTAGATATTAGAATGGCTACTCCACCTTGTTTCCTGGATTTGTTTGCTTGGAAAACCATTTTAGAACCCTTTACTCTGAGGTAATATCTATATTTGTTTCTGAAGTATGTTTCTCCTCATCCAGCATCCCTTCATCTAGCAGAATGATGGATCCTGTTTACATATGCAGTCTCTTAGCCTGTGTCTTTTTATTGGTGGATTGAGTCCATTAATGTGATTTTTTTTACAACACCAAATTCAATATTTTTATTAGTGCAAGTATGATCACATCACTCTTTACAAACAAACTACTCTTCCCTTCTATGGCCAAAGAAATCTCTTGGGAAAGAGCCCCTGTTCTTCATAAAACTCAATAGAAACACAACTCTTTATTGTGAGGTACAATGATAGGTTTTGTAAGGCAATCATGCTCCTCTCTGTGAAAAATAAAATGATATTCAAAAATTGTCTTCATGTTTATTTTAGTTAAGAAACAGTTTCAATCTAATCTTAGCATTCTTTAGTAAAAGATACTTTTAAAAAATAACCCCTCTAATACAATAAATCCTGACTGCAATTTCCACTCCCTGCACTCCTCCAAGCCAAGCCCCCTCCTCTTCTCACAGATCCACTCCCACTTTGTCTTCCGTTGGAAAAGAGCAGGCCTCCAAGAGACAACAACTAAATCCAACAAAACAAAATATAATACAATATGGCAAGGCAAGAGCCCTCACTCTGAAGATGGACAATGCAGTCTAACAGGAGGGAAAGAATTTCATGAGCAGGCCAAAAAGTCAGAGACACACCTGCTTCCATAGTTAGGAGGCTCACAAAAGCATTAAGCTAATAGCCATAATACGTACACAGAGGACCTGGTCCAGATCCTTACAGGCCCTGTGCTTGTGCTTGCTGCTTCAATCTTTTTTTTAAATTAGATATTTTCTTTTTTTACATTTCAAATGTTATCCCATTTCCCGGTTTTCCCTCCAAAACCAGTCTATTCCATCCTCTCTTCCCCTGCTTCTATGAGGGTGTTCCACCACCCATCCACCCACTCCCGCTTCCACATCCTGGCATTCCCCTACACTGGGGCACGGAGCCTTCATAGGACCAAGGGCCTCTTTTCCCGCTGATGTCCGACAAGGCCATCATCTGCTACATATGCGGCTGGAGCCATGAGTCCCTCTATGTGTACTCTTTGGTTGGTGGTTTAGAATCTGGGAGCTCTGGGGGGTTTGGTTGGTCCATATTGTTGTTCCTCCTATGGGATTGCAAACCCATTTGGCTCCTTCAGTCCTTTCTCTAACTCTTCCATTGGGGACCCCATGTTCAGGCCAATGGTTGGCTACAAGCATTCACCTCTGTATTTGTTAGGTTCTGGCAGAGCCTTTTAGGTGAAAGCAATATCAAGATCCTGTCAGCAAGAAGTTCTTAGGAACCACAATAGTGATCTACAACAGTGTCTGTGTTTGGTAACAGTATATGGGATAGATCCCCAGGTGGGGCAGTCTCTGGAAGGCTTTTCCTTCAGTCTCTGCTCCACACTTTGTCTCTGTATCTCTTCCCATGAGTATTTTGTTCCCCTTTCTAAGAAGGACCAACGTATCCACATTTTGATCTTTCTTCTTAAGCTTCATGTGGTCTGTTAAATGTATCTTTGGTATTCCAAGCTTTGGGGTTAATATCTGCTTATCAGTGAGTGCAAATCATGTGTGTTTTTTTGTGATTGGGTTATCTCACTCAGGATGATATTTTCTAGTTCCATCCATTTGCCTAAGAATTTCATGAAGTCATTGTTTTTAATAGCTGAGTTGTATACCACTGTGTAAATGTATCACATTTTTTGTATCCATTCCTCTGTTGAAGGCCTTCTGTGTTCTTTCCAGCTGCTGACTATTATAAATAAGGCTGCTATCAACATAGTGGAGCACCTTTTGGATATATCGCCAGGAGTGGTATAGCTGGGTCCTCAGGTAGTTCATGTCCACTTTTCTGAGGAACAGCCAGACTAATTTC